AATCATGTGTTTGACAGTTGTAATACCTTAGCCTTCTACTCACACAGGAAACCTGGATAGTCCAACAATGAATGTTCACTTGAAAGAGCCAACTGGGCATTTATTTTGCAAATACACAGTAGGATTTATGAACGCAAGGGTTAGCAAATATGATCACATCACAGGGTGAGAGTCAAATTTTGGCTGTTTTGAAAGTTTGTAACCCGAATCCTATTTAAGCACATGTCTTATGGTATAATAATACATCACAGTTGATAAAGTGAGATTAAAAAAAGAGAACTCAATTCATGTATACCACAGTAGATAGTATACCAGCAGAACTCAATTGCAGTAATATTCCTGTACCTGCTTTTGCACAAACAGAGTAAGTTAGAAAATAAAATTTGATTATTTGCCGCTGTGACAGTGAGTAACATTAAAATTTCTGAAACCCTTAAACATAAAATATGATTGACTTTATACCCTTACAGACCCATTGCTGTGCGTATGCTAAGGCATATTAAAGTGGTATCAGAGTGATGCCTTACAAAAAGGATATATTGCAACTTTGGAAAAGGATATATATGATAGGGAAAAAAGAGAAATTTTCGAGACAGAGGATTCCATGTAACCTGTTGCAATAATTCTTTTTAGATATCTGAGTAAATGTCTTCTTCCTTTCTACCCTCTACTTTGTCCACTCCAAACCTTCTATGTCCTTCTTTACATCTCCCTCTTCCAATGTGCTCCCCACTCACATGCTTAAGTCATGAAAATGGCACATCCAAGATACTGTTAGAAAATTTTCCTGGAAATACAATGACTAAAAAGAAAGACAACCCTCCTGCTTGCATAGAGCTTACATTCTATTAGGAAAAGTTGACATTAAATTTATAATCACCTATACAAATATAAATTTATAAATACATATAAATATGTAATTACAATTATGATAATGTCTAGGAAGGAGAATACAGGCCTCCAATCAAATCACCAATAGGTAACTGGCAGTTATTAACCTGAGCTATTAACCATCCACAATGGCTGGATTTGCAGTGTAACTTACTTTAACATTTTCTCATAAAAATGGTCATTCATTACTTTCATACAACCATTGAAGTAAAATATAATTTAAGAAAGTAATTGTTGGAATAAAGTGACCACTAAAATATACATGGGAAAAATACTAAATTCCCAGGTAAATCAATATATTTAAATTCTAAATAAAATGGAAGAATAAAGTTAGCATCATCAAGGATCCCAACAATACCAGTGACAAATTCATACCTGAAAAGAAAGCAACTACAATCTCACAAAGGCCATTTGGATCGATGTAGCCACATGCAGCCGAAGTAAGGTTTATTCTAGAGAATATCTGTCTTCAGCTATCTCTAAGAAAGCTATAAATCATTGAAACAAACTTTATTCCTAAAGGTGACAGTTCTTTGTTTATAACACATGAAAGCAAATCCAAATAATCATCTCTACAGTTTGGAGCAAAGACGGTCTATGGGAAGAGTGGGAAAGGTTTAGTTTACTCACTATAGTTCCATGAGAACATAGCAATGACTCTTAACATGTCCTCAGGTGACTTAGCTGTTTTTGTGATGTACACATGATAAGGGATTTTTAAGTTTCCAAACCCTGAACAATGAATTACGAAGTATGGAAAGATCCACACTGACTCTGTAAGGATCCATCACGGTTGTACCAGTGTTTATCTCTACAGAGAAGACTGGGGAGGAAGATGATGAAGGTTATCAGAATAAATGTTCTCTTTAGATGAGTGACTGTATTTCTCTTTTTTAAAAAACATGAAATGTATTCATTTATCACTGGACATTTAGAAACTTGGAAAATATTTCAAAATCCATATAGAAAAAGTTAAAATTACAATAATGTTCCTGAATCCAATTTTGCTTCTGGATTAAAAAAAATACATTAATCCAGAGATGATCATTCCAGAGACCCTGAAGGCACTACTCCTATAGAGAAATGTGGTGTCAGGAAAAATACTACAGGATTATACTGTGATAGAAAGATTTGGGTGGCATCAATTTACAGTGCACATCAGTTATTTTAGCCTAGGGAGGTTAACATTTAGGATCTAATCTGATGTAGAAAGCTACAATATAAAGTTGCTTCTCCAACAGATGGCACAAGGCATGGATATCCACCGACGAATGACCCTGGTTTATGTGGCTTTTATCTTTTTAAATGCCCATCACTTTTCCCCACTCTCACAGTGCTTCCAGTCTGTCATCTGACTGACTCGTCCGTGTTTTCATTTCTCTATTATAATGACGCCTTTTAATGTGGATGCGTGTCATAGACAAGATGGTATTTTTGATCTAGAATGCAGATTTACTGAATTAATTTTCAGTTAAAGACTTACAAATCACAGTTTCATTTCTATACATCTAATTAAACAACATGTGGTTGGACCAGTCTGACTTGCAGAATAATCAAGTCCATCTTAAATCTTCTTTCTTGATTTCACATCAAAAAGCATCCTGGTCCCATTAACAGAAGAATGTAAAAGAAAAGGAAAATCCCTACCCTCTGTAGTTTTGTGCTGACTGAGGAATGAAATTTTATGAAAATTTTAGTAAAAATATGTTTGACACACATACCTACAGAAACTATCTAAGACTGAATAGTAAAACTGAATGAAGTAACACAATATTAATTATACCAAAACAAATACCAACTTAGCATAAACATGAATTATTCTTTATGTAGAATTAAATGGTTGTATAATTGGGACATTATTTTTAAGAATTACCTTTTCACAACATAATAAATATATGTGTGCATATTTAGAAAGTTTGTGTACATACATGCATCCCTACCGATGTACACAAGGAACAGATACAAACACATATAGATGTACTTCATTGAGCCAGTAAAATAAAATGTATAGTTCTGCTATATCATTCTGAATTTTATACTAAGTAACATTGTGAGAAATACCCACTTAGTAAAAAAATGGGTGGCACTTTGTCCTAAAAAAAAAAAGGTAAAAATCATCCCAAATGGTGCACAAAATTTTTAAAAGAAGCAATACATACTGCCATTTGCACAGTTGCTGGAAGGCTTAAAATGAGATCAAATTACATTATTAAAAATGGTTGACCAAATAACAAACCGCAATAGTGTATGTTCTTTTTTATTAACTCAAGAGTATCCAAGCAATATTTGTTTCTAAAGCTCTATTTTACACTTTTAAAACTTTGATACCATTTCCTACTTATTGCCCAGCTCATGTTCAGACGCTTCTTTAAGCGGAAGTGTTTCCCTGCTAGATGGCCAAACATGAAGCTGCAGGACCATGGGCTTCAAGCCCAGTCACCAGAGTAAGATTCAAAGCATAGGAAGGATTCAGGGAATTCAAGGATAAGACACATTCCTGTGTTTAAAATAACCAAAAAATGCAGACAAACAGACAAACAAACAAAAACTAGAGACCAAGGGCACATTCACTTACAGTTTAAAAAGTTTAATTTAAAGGCTATGACACATATTTACCAAGCTGCCTATCATCTACCTCCTTTTGTTGCAAACACTAAACACAATGTGGATGGTTCTAAATGGTGAGTTATACATGCTTTTAAATTGGACACCAATGTTGTCAAAGAGTGCACATGCCTGACTTACCAAGAGATGCAAGAATATACACCTGGTCGACAATGTTCTTAAAGCAGAGTTAGTACACACAAAAGAAAAGAACAGGCTTGTCTTGCTCCTTTATTTCTCTCTCAATCCTGCCTCTTCCAGGTTATCATGGAGTTATTGTGCATGTATGACATCTAGCAGACAATGAGGTAATGAGCAGAACCACTCCAATGCTGCGCATGCTTAGACTTACATCCCAGTGCAGAATAGCTGGGGCAGGTGAGCTCCAGAATTAAATGTTTGAAGATAATGTAGCAATGGTGACTATACTCATCATTTAACTACCAGTGAATGATACTGCCAAAACTGACACAGAAACCTGCAGCTAATTTTTAAATACACTAATTATATAAGCAGCTGACATGGAAAAAATCACTCTAATGAGCAAGGGGAAAAAAGAATGAAACATTTTGATGGATTTTTTTCTTACCTTAAATTCATAAAAAAGTCATTAACACTCATACCTACCTCCCAGTGCCCATTATTAATGCCAAAAGGTGTAAATACATTTGCATAACTTAGACACACTCCACACAGATGATATTAGGTAGAAATAAAATAGTGTAGTACCTTTACTTTTACCTATTGATTTGATGAAATGGTTCCATGAAGAAAGGGGTTCCATACAAAGAGAATAAAGAGGAGAGAAACAACAATAAGAATTATGAATATATGTAAATGTACTACTTTTGAAAATTAAACAAGAAGGAATAAAGGTGTGAAAGCAAATGGAGATACAATCAGTACATGTTGGGAAATATGCCCTTTTTAAAGGCAATACATGCAAGAAAACTGGAAAGCCCATGCTCACTTTAAGGTATCACACACACACAAAAGATACACAATGACACAGGTAAAAGAAGTATTGATTCCGTGGAACGCTATACTCAGCATTCTAGAAGCCAGAAGCCAAAGATGTCTGCATGTTCCCAAACTGCCATGCATGGATGAAAAATGGACTCTTTTTTGATACACTAGGTTAAACTGGGTATCCTCTGTCATAAACTAATTTTTGATGGTTCTCAGTTTTTCTTTACTATAACTATGCTTAACTGCATATACTGATAAACATATGAAAAATTTAAATCACAAGTCCTTATGTCTCATTTATTTTCACACATTATAATGCAAAGAATGAACAAAAACAAAAGCCAAAAGAGCAGACCAAAAATCACACCAACAAAGGGGAGAGAAACACATGAAAAAAAATGTGAATGAAAGTCATGTATTTAATTTGCAGCCAGATAATTTGCAAGCATTTCCCCATCCTTTGCAGTGATGGTGTGAAAGCAGCTACAAAACAAGAACACACTGAAAGCGGAGTGGAAAAGGAACAGAGCCCATACCTTGGTCGCCCATCATCAGGTGCGCCAGACCTTGAAGGGAAACAAGAGCACAGTCAGCAATAAACATGGGAGCATGGGGAGGCAGGGTTGTCAAGGTGACAAAAATGTTCAGTGACAGACATCTTGTTTCCTATGAGACATGTCTGTTTCTCAGAGGCAAATCAAAAAGCATTCTTTCAACCCCTGGTTGGAATGCTTTGGGGCAAAGAGTGAGAACTACAGCGTAGACACCAGCATATGCTGCACTGTGTATTTCTACTAGTAGCAGTTGGAACGATAAGGAGCTTCAGTACATGACTCAAAATCCAATCAATCCCTCAATATTACATCTGCCCTTCATCCGTTTTAAACACTGCCCCCATAGGGCTTGCCACGGTTCAGTATGAAATTATATATTTTTAAAAATTCAAAGGAATACTTGAAATATGGGCTGGGTCTGATCTTTTTCCCCTCATCAAAAAATGAGAAGTTTCATAATTAAATGAGAAAAAAAGTCCTTAGTCACACTGAAATGATAATGCAGAAATGTCTCCTGGTCTGACACATGTAGCAACTGACTAAGCTTGTTCAAATACACAAAAGACCATTAGACATGCAGTTGTAAGGTTAGAATTCACTATAGAAGAATGTTTTTTAAGGAATGATGAATTAGATTTCAATAGGCTCAAGTAATTTTCCATGGAGAACAAAATTAGTTATTATTTTCTTTAAACATAACTTAAATACTAAACTATGAGTTAATGTGAGTATATATTATATATATAAAGAGAGAGACAAAACAATTCCATCAAGGAAGTTTTCTGAAATAATATTGAATCCCTTTTATTTATTTAAATTATTTATTCTCTCTTGACAATTAACTTTAGAGTGAAGATTGCTCTTTTTCTAAAGAGTACAACTGATTTCTTTGAACTGATTTTATACTTTTTACTGAAAGGCATAATTCCTAGTTTTTATTCAAAGTTCAATAATAAAACTACTACTAAATCCATGTATATTTCAAAAATATGGGAAGATGTTAGAGCAATATAGTATTCATACAATTTTAACAAAATTCATATTTCATTTCTCAGTGTTATTTCAAATATATTTTAGTCTTTATTTAAGATACATAACATTATGCATTACTTGCATCAGTATTAAAATGATCAGTATTATTTTCTTAAAATTTTATAGATAAATATAGATAAATTATAAATCATCATATAATCACAATACAAAAATTATTAAACATACTACTTTGAGGTTTCTGTAATTCAGCCTCTTTTTGTATTTTCTAAGTGATTTTAATAAATAAAAAAAATAATCACACTGGCGGATTAAAATGTTTATGATCTGTTGGTGATTTGTGCTATTTTTATATGCTTAGTAATAGTTGCTTATCTGTCCAAATGATTCCATTTTTCATTTAATTTCACTCTTAAAACTACCATACATATTTCCTAATAACAGTTTATAACATTTTGTAGACTAAATCAGGGAACTATCTCTGTATCAGATCGAACTTTTGCAAAATACACCAGACATCTCCAATGGTTTTTAATACCACCTTGGTAAGGACGGTATTTCAAAAGCATTCACACTCCTCATGCTAGATTTCCCACTTCTAAGGAAACTCGACTATATTGCCAAAGTAGCATTATAAATAGGGATGTTAAATTATGACTGAATAAACTTTATTGCAATAGTTTATAGCCTAGACTCTGAAAATCTTATCAGAATTTTTCATGGGATGACTGTGTTTGAGGAGAGAGGCATTCATGCTTATTAGGCCATTTTGAAAGCTCATTGGAATGCAACTGAATTTAAAGAGAAAAGAACCAAAATGTGAATCTTTACAGTATGATTAAGGAAATGCGAAAGAGGTTGAAACTATACTTAAAACCACTTTCAATCTTAACTAACATGCACAATATAAATGAGACTGATTTTGAAAAATGTCAGACCTGCAGGGAAATATCATCTTGATCAAATGCATACTCACATGCTATTAAATTTATAGTATAGAAAAACAGAAGCCTCATGCAGAGCCAACACTGGAAAAAGTAATCACTGATGATTTATTTTGAAGTTTTAATCCATTTTACTTAAATAATAAAACAGATACATTCAACAAGTAAACAACTATATTGTCCATGAATGAATCACAAACAATAACCTAACCTTGCTAGTGATCAGCGTATAATGACATGAATTGTTCTTTATTTGAAACATCAAATCTTAGTAACTCTACTATTTATCTGTAACCTTTGATGAGGACTTTTTTCCTAAGAAAGTTGTCATTCTGTAGAAATATATATTATTTTTACAGAATGATTTTGATTTAAAATATTGCAGCAAAATAAAACATGCCAAATGCTTGATTCTGACATATAAATACTGGTAAATGAATTAAGCAAATCTGTTAGTGATATACTTATATAATTGGATAGAACATCATCTTTCCTTCCATAATTCTTTGCTCTACCTAGCTCTTTCTGCATTTTTATCATGAAGGGATTTGTTTGACACATCAAGACATTTAAGTTCTTTAAATATATATTGAAATATGTTTAGTTTGTTGGATTCTTTAGAATAAAATGTATACCTTTCTCAAAATTCTCTGAGAGATAATTTTTTAAAAACTTGAATAAATACTATAGGCTTATTTAATAGACACAGCATATTATGAATATACTTACCATTAATCACAATGGAGTACTGTATGCTTTCATTCCACTGGCCAAAGACTTATTTTTTAATCTAAATGTATGCCTCTTATTTACAGTCAGTACTTTATTCTGGTTTTATAAATCAAAACATTTAAAACTAAAACAATGGGCTTGAGATAATGTAATAGTAAAGAATTCCAAAAGCAAAGAAATAATTTAAATGAAGAAAAAAAGGAGAATCATGCACTGTGTCCTGAAACTGCAAATACTCTCTCATTTAAAATAAAAAAAAAAAGGATTATATTACTTTTCCATACAGAACACTGAAATAAGTATTCTAAGGTTCATACGGGATGCTGAAGTCCATCAAGGTTTGAAATTAAGACTGGAGAAATTTCATAGACTTGGGGGTGTTGGGGTAGAAAGTACATGTGTTCTATATGAAAAAATCATACATAATCCAGAAATCGACAAAAGCTCAGTAAAAAAAGTTTGTTAACTTACCGTCTAAATTCGAGATGTACTCTATTAATGCTAAGAAATAAAAGGCAAATGAGAGTTGGAAGCAGAAAAAGTAAACAGCACCCACCTTCTACATTGTTGTCTTCTGAAAGCACAGGACAAGGAGGGAGAGAAAAGGAAAAACATTCATTAAGCAGCATGCAGACTGGACCTGGCCTTGCATGTCTTCCTCATGCAAGGCACCGAACACAGCATGCAGTGCTCCATCGCTACCATTCCGGGGGGGAAACAAATCAAGGGAGGTAGGTTCTCTCCCACTGGCAGCATTTAAAAAAAAGTGACACTAAATTTCAGTGATACTGGTATGTCCTGAGCAAGGAGTTTTAAAGTCTTCCACTGCCCTGTGTAAAGCAAACATTCTTACATGTTGCTGGCATGGTTTTTCTAGGCAATAATTTTTAAAGCTTTTTTATACCATTCTTAAAGATTCTATTTCTAAATTCTTATTTGGACTTGGATGAAAGAAAAATAGCCATGAAGTCTCACCTAAAGATATTCCAGTTCTATCAAAAATGTAAATCCATTTTCTATCATGGCCTTTAAGTATTTCTAATATTCCAATTTCTTCCCTTAAAGAACCACAATATAAATGCACAATGAAAATCTACAGTCTAACTGAGTGACTTAAAGGGCTCATATTTTATTACAAATGATGATAGTTTACTGTAATCATTAAAATGCTAACTTTTAAAATGTTAAGTAGAGAAAGCAATTATCGCAAGGGAAGTCCATTTGGAAATGTGCATTAGGCATGTTTTATCAAGATCTGTTCACTTTGTACTTTTTGTTCAGGGTGTGACTATGAGTAGAGTTAAGATAATGACAATATTTGGTAAACCTTCTCTTGTATTTCCAAATATCTATAAAATATTTACATATTTAAACACATTTCCATGTGTGTGTATATATATGTATACACACAAACATGCATATATCTAATCAGATTTGCATTTCATCAATGTAAGTGAAGGGGATTTAGACTGTTGATATGCACGAGACAATTCAACTACTCTCTGACACACAGGGCTTGGTACCCAGGTAGGAAACGTAAGGGGAAGCTGTTTCATGGCACTAGGGTAAGAGCGAGGTTTCAATACTAATCAGAATTTTTCCAGTAAAGAATATTCATGTTGATAAAGCCCCAGTCTCATTCATAAATTTCTTCTAATTAGCTATAGTTTTTCAAGTGGTCCTTTATCAGTAGTGTTTTTAAAGAACAAAACAATAGCAGAATAAAAATGAGAGAAATACAGCTATAGGTGAATCACTTCACAAGGTTTAACAAGTAACTTTTTTAATGGTTGAAGATATTAATGAATTAAAAATCATCAATTTTATTTAAATTATATTAGCTGGAAACTGTACTATTAAGACAGGCACATTTCCTCATGTGGTATTAATATATAATAGAAAATAGCTAGTGGATAAATGTGGACAATAACACCTGTACAAAGTACTTGGTTTGCCAAAGTTGATTTTAAAGGAAATTTTTAAAATAATTGAAATATTTGGTATATGAGAGTCATTTATTGTGTGCATCTGGTTTGCAATCCACCAAATAAAGGATTAAGCTGGATTTGTTACTTATCAATGGCAGCTCAAACATGACATGGACACAAATATTAAAGTTTTGTTTCATTGCTTTATATGGGAAATCATACAAAGATCCAGGTTCTTTCAATATCTAAGATACACTTTGGTTTTATGTTAATTGTCCTTGGAAATTCTATTCTATATTTAAGATGAATATTTTAGTAATATTATTTAATACACAGAGAAATAACAAAATCAGACAGTTTAAAAGGAAGTCGAGTGCCAGGAAGGCCTATGAATTACTGTAGCACTATTTGATTTTTGTAAGCAAAAAACTAGCATATACGGCTGTGAATAATAAAATCCCAGACAGAGCTTTTGGTAAAAGTGCTGCATGAAAGTCTAACAGGAAAAGAAAAATGAGAAACAAACCAACAAAATAAAACCGTCCCATGCTTCACGTCAATTTTAAAAATTTGCTGAGTAGGATATTAGAAAAATAAATTGTGCTAACAAAATCAAGGTCCTTGATTTGCTCTCCAAAAGTAAATTCTCATTTCACTGTTAACTAAGGCAAAGAGCCACAGCAGGTGCCCCTGACCCCACCCCGCCTTCCTGAATTTTTCTGAGATCTTATTCATAAGGAAAACCAGGTTGACTAATGGGACTCTTTCTATGCACATCAAAATCTTGTTTAATGTGTAAACAAATCCTAACTTGACAATTTCAGGGGAAAATGGTCCAAGGAGACTGAGACCTGTAAAAAATCAAAGTACTAGGGTAAATCAAAGGGTAATGTATTAATTCCTATAAAAATAATTAAAGAAGAAAACTGGCTTGAAACAGCCTTGCCCTGTGTTTCCAATGTATTTCCAGATTCAATCCTAGAATAAAAAAAAAACGCTCTTTACTTTTTTTTTTTTTCATTTTATTCGATCCCTTTGGTATCCATTTCTAAGTTTTAGTTAATTTAAAATCTCTTAACCTAAAGATGATCCCATATTACTCCAGAATTTGGATGCAGTTATGTAAGTGGTGGTAGCTCTAGTGTTTACAATCTTTGTCCAGGTAGTTTTCCTCTTATCTTTCCTTTCTACTTGGCATTGGGACTAAACAAACAATATCCTGTTTAAAAACAAGAATTTTTTCTGAACACTTCAACTTTTGCTCTCTCTCTGTATCCTATGCAATCAGAACTATTTTGGATTTTAGCAGCCACAGAGAGGGGTACTGAAATCGGCATCCTCCAGTGTGTAAAGCAGTGTATTGGGCTTTCGTGTAGTAGAGAAAGCAGTCCGCCCAACCTTACCTGTAGACATTGGCAACTTAGGGAAAAGCTCTTGGTTTGCAGGAAACCCTGGCTTCTTAATTCTGCTGCCCTAAATGCTGCTTGAAGTAAGTACCTTAATAATCAACTTTACTATAACGATCATGACACCTAAAAAGATCACACTCATTTTTTTTCTTTGGAGTGTGAAAATAATGAATACGAACCCAGGAAAAATTACCTTAAATTTTATTTTTCTTTTGGATTAGAGGCGTTTCTTTCACAAAATGAGAATTAGCACCAGAATATGAAGCATGCTCTATATATGATAGTGGTGCTGACGTGAAGAAAAGCTGCAGGCTGTCGAGCTGTGTGCTTTTAAATCACTTCTAAAGAGCATCTCCACAAACTTTTTTCCTTTTGCCCTCAGCCAATAAGATTGCAAGGACAGTTCTATATGCCAAAAGAAGTTTGTCACCAACTGGGTTTTCCTGCTCTTCTCTGATTTTCTTCCTTCTCTGCTAGTTGCCTGTGACTGGTTCCCTTCATTTTCTTTTCAATCAAAGAGCCCTCTCCTCATCAAAAATGTCATTAAAGCAGGTGGCCCCCCACCCAGATCCATGCCCTCCAGGGCAGGGCACAAAGTAGCAAAACTGGTGGTGGTACTATCAGCCAGCAGGAGGAATGCAAACTAAGATTCTATTTCCTCCTTTCTTCATCCACAGAAGGCTTGCTAGCCTAGTCTATCCTTGACTTTCCACTCCTCATACTACTTTTCAAGACATTATTCCTCATTTTGGAGAGTAAATGCCAGCATAGCAGTCTGGTTCTCAAGGTGGCAAAAGATGGAGTTTAGTTCTATTTTTTGTTTGGTGTTAGTAGTGAAAGCCTTTGGAAAATCTCAGTAGTCTGGGAAGGCTTCAAGGCCTGGGAAATAGAGGACTCACTGAGACTGTGGATTTGTACAGCAGTTAGCTGAAGGAGGAGAACTGCAGGCCAGAACCATGAGGACGTTCAACAGAAAAGGAACTAAGGAAAAAAGAATCTGGCTAGTTTCGAATGTGTTTTTCAACAGGTGGACTCAGACATTGAATTTCAATCCACTCAAATGACACTTCCATCCAGCCTGCTGAATCCCAGTCCTAGACTATAAGGAGAACCAAATAAAGTAGCTAATTTTCCCCTCTTTCTTTACTGCTCCAGAGTGAGAGGAGTGGTCGCTCTAAATCAGCTTGCAGCAGAAGAGATGTTCCTGACACCACAGTTGGAACTATAAACAACATTTCCCTAGAAACATGACAGGCAATATTGGACTTTTGGTCCAATACCATGATTCAAGTAGGTTATAGAATTAATGAGTCCTTCATGAAGTGGTTTGAGAGGTTTACCTCCCCTTATACAGTGTTGTTGCCATAGGGAACTTGGGTAAGGGTTTCATATTTTTTATTCGAAGAACTTTTAGAATAGTACTTTTATAAGCTGGAGACTGTGTTTCTGCTTTACACAGGTGGCAGTTCTGTTACAAAGTATGTGGTATATAATTCAAAATGCTCTATCTTGTTAGTGGAGAAAGGGAGGAAAGGAAGAAAGGCAGGCTAATTATATGGCTGATTTACTCATACAGGGCTTTAGCTGTTCAATGGAATGGATAGAAATTAATAGTTATTAGTCAACCTACTAAATATATATGTGTGCATATATATATGATTCACATAAACTATACTGTTTAAAATTTCAAATTTTCTTTTTATGAGAAGCGTTAAGAAGATTTTGCTTTGCTTTTGTAGCCTTAATTCTTCCCTACATCTAATATGAGAGTTAATATTTCTATATTCATTTCAATGGCTGGACTTCAGAAAAGAACACTGAATTTAACATTGATGTAAGAATTGTGATAATCACAATCTACATTGTGTGTGCTCATGTCACTTATAAAGTTTTAGTGTTTAGTGAGAAATAAACACTTTCTGATATGAAACTGACAATTAGCATCAAACAGGGTGTTACCATGTACCTTTCTATCCATGTTCAATCACTACCACATAATTCTCCAAAGAAAGCTGATTCAGTTCAGTATAGCTTCCTTTCTAAGAGTCTGAAGTCATCATATGTTAGACAGTAGATCAGGAAAGCGCTTGAAGTTGGGAGAATAGATGTAAATACATCCAAACCTATCTATCCAACTTATCACCCTTCTACTGGTTACATGGATGTGCCAGTACTCAGATGTGACTTTTCAAAGGAATAGGTGACATCCTTTCCCTGTGTGGTACCAGATGAGAATA